GGTACAATCTCAGGTACACAAATGAGCTTCATGACATTCCATCTGGTGCGCTTTTTATTTTTTTTGACCGCACATACGTACCTGCGCACCACTTATGTGCAACTCTGTCCATAGATGTCCTAGTAAGAAAGCAGGGTTTGACAGCATGTTTCTGTATTTTTAAGAAAGACATATTATCAGATTATCGTTATCAGCAAATGAAAAAAAATTAACGAGATTTATTTTTTGTCTATATCGCCCAGCCCTATCTACCACACACCTATATTTTGTGCTGAAGTTCAGTAAACAGATGAAATGAAACTGCTACAGTCTGTGTTTTATGAATGAGTCAAAGCAACATTGGGTCTGTTTTTTGATGAGCAAATGACATGACATGATATAAAACTCAAAGTTGATTTTGAATAATAACCACCCCYCAAAACTACTTGCCAACAGTTGTTTGAAAGGAGCAACTAAACTTGTTCTTCAGTTTGTGTATTAAACTCTTAAACAGAAAAATGTTATTAATCCCACATGCCTTTTTTTATTCCCATTCTGGCTTTGACTTCTGTAAGCTGAAGGAGCTGGTTGATCAGGTGGACCTGGACCAGCTTCTGGGCCCAGAGTGGGACCTCTACCTCATGACCGTCATCGCCCTGCTGCTGGGCACGGTCATCGCGTACCGACAACGGCAGCACCAAATCATTGTGCCACCTCGGCCCCCGGCCCCTGCACCCCCTGCCCGAGCGGCTCAGGAGGAGCCGCAAGTCCCGGCTGAGCCTCAGGCTGAGGAGGAGACACCAGGCCGGGGCCCAGCTCAAGAGGAAGAGGAGCAGCAGCAGCAGTGAGGGGCTGTAAAACCCAGAGCGGTGACTCGATCGGCCCYGCTGCACGAAGCAGCTGGTAGTTCAAAACCTGCTGCTTTGAGCGAGTCTGACTCTGCCTGCTCCCCTCCACACTATAGAAGACTCCTGCTGAACTGTTCAGTCTCACAACCCCTTTTCTCAGTTTGAGAGGTGATAGGAAGCTGTTGATTGAACAAACCAAACAACCTGTGCTGAGAGGATAAGTCAGACTTGGGACTTGTCAGTCTGTGACTCAGGACTCTCCCAGAATCTCTCGTCCGTGGTTAAAGTCTTTTGCTGTTGCCAAATCAAAGGCATTTCAGAGCTAACTGGTTTGAACAATGGATTTTTTTATTTTGGTGTGTATTAGTTTCATCTCCAGTTTCACCAATTCTGATTTATTTTGAATTTTTGGGGATATTTACACCGAGTCAATCGGCTTCAGTTATAATTCAATGCAGGTTTAGAAAAAAAATGTTGCAGAAATAAAATGTGAATGTAAATTTTATTTTCTAGTTGATCTAGTTGCTAAAGGTTTTCTCCAACTGAAGGTGTAGGCACTTTTTGGTTTGTTTCCAGTTAACATTTTATCAGTACAGTTTCTTCGCTCACCTGCTTTTTGCGCCATTTTTTTTTGTCAAATAAAATTAAATGAATACTAACAATCATTTTTTATCCTGAACAAGTTAAAATAATTTTTTTTTGTTTCGAAGTTTGAGCGAGTGCCTGACAGCCTGAGAACGGAGCTGGTGTCACAATAAGAGCCTGTTTTTTTAAAATTCTATGGGAATGTCGTTTTGTCTTTTAATAAAGATCAAATCATAACACAAACCTTTTGAAATCCTAAAGAGTAAGAAAAAAACTGAAGCAGTCCTGCATCTCAGGTGTGTTTTCTGTTAAGTTTTTCATCACTTTCAGTAGACAGAATTTTTTTTTAGAAGAAGTTACACAAATTAAGCTGCTGTGACAGTTTCCACCCCCTCACCAAAAGCTTCCAATTGGAGGTTTTCCCACAGCTCAGATGGCTGCGATTAAGAAACAGCTAAATTAAGCCACAGTTAGGCCTTTAAGTGTTCGCCCTAAATATCCAATCGTCATATTTATCTTTAAAACCCTTTGTTTTTCTGTTCCACGTTTTGTTTTGGCTGCAAGAGTTGAGTCTAACGGCTGTACGGCTGCATGAAGTTCATGAATTGAGGTGATTGTAAAGATGTTTGCAGATCGACCTTATTTCCCAGCGTTCTTTCATTTAAAACTGGTTTGAGACCTAAATGACTCATTTTCACCCTCATAAGTACAGGTTTATAAAAAAATAATAAATGAATATAGAGATCTCTACTACTGTTTTGAACCTTTCATACAACCGCTGTCCTTTTTTTTGTCAAATGCTATAACAAACTGTCAAATGAAGATAAGTGTAATGATCATGGACTACCAGTACTTGTTATCTTTAGAAACAAACAGAACTTAATGTAACATCATGATAAAAGAATCAGAATGACTGAATGGAGCTGCAGGCTGTCACTCACTCAGTTTTTGACCCAGGAGTCGGAGCAAAAGGACAGCTCTACAAACTGAGCATCACTTTGTGAAATCTTACCTTTGGTCCAAATACATTACTATGAAGAGGCTTTTCATCATTGTGACTCTTTGTGTGCACATGTCCTGCTCTGTCCCAGGTAAGTGCTGGAACAAGATGAGACATTAAGTCTATTTATTGATACTAAACAGCTTCTGAAGCAGTTTAGAATGATTCAGTCTGCTTGTTATTAACAGTAACAAGGCATTGATGAATACATGTACACCACAAACCTAATGCACTTTGTGAAAATTTAGTTTCTGGATTTTTCAATTATTTTTCAAGTTATGTTAACTGGGACATATCACGCAAAATCCACTTTTTTAGCCATTAAAGGCATTTTGTTGTGTACTTGGAGACACTAGAAAGCAGGAAATTCGAATTTTGGAAACTTATTTGTGCCATTTTTTTTCAACCCGTTCAGTTTTTTTCAGTTTTTGACGACGTTTTCCAAATTTTAACATCAAATTATTCGCAACGAAGCTTCTAAATAATGTCTGGACCTACCAACTACAATTCCGTAGCCTTCATTCTCCTCTGGCTCCAACATGTAAGGCTGGATGGACWAGTTTTCTGTTGTTGACGTCTTAATTTGTAATCAAAAAGTTTCTGCGCTGCTATACAGTCGTAAACCCCTCTATGARACTAGAAYGAAAAGCTCTGGAAGCTGGAAGGAAGCGGRCTGTGAAGCGCCTCGTTTGGGTTTAAAGAGACAGCCTCAAAACGAGTTGATCTGAGACACACCTGAGAAAATTGGTGAAAGAGGGGGCTTGTGGAGTTACAATAAGGAGGAATTCAGACCAAAGYATTGCAGTTCCACTTATRGACCCCAACTGAATGATKGAAACAGAAGGATTTAAAKGCACGATATGTCTCTTTTAAGATTCCCAGCTGAATGCTCATAAAATTCTTCTCTTAAAGGAAACACCTGGCAGTGGGACAATGAGGACATTTACATAAGCAACGCTTTCAAGGTTTGTTTCCACCTGGTTTTATTGAGCATACAATGGTTGTTAGAGATTAGAGAGGATTATCAAATCTTAATATATTTTGGTTGTTCCCTCTTCAGGGGTCACCACAGTGAMTCCTCTTCTACCTCCCTCTGCTCTCTAACGACATCTCCTCTTTGTCCTTTTCCTGGCACCTGCCAACCTTCATGCTGTAAAGCGGCAGCACAAACTGCTGTGTCACTTTAATAGCGATGGGATCTAATAAACAAGTTGACAGTTTATATATCAGGGCTATTCAACTGCCAGCCTGCAGGCCACATCCTGTTCRTGGGTGACTTCAATTCAGCCCTCCAATGAGTTCATAAAAAAAGATAATTATTATGTTTATATAAAAATAATTTTTTAATTCATTTGAGTGTTTAAAGTTATGATTCAATGCAGCAAAATAAACACATTTAAAAGATATAAAGGGGAAAGGATTCTATTCTAGCATTATCTGGTTAAGTCCTGATGCATCTCAGTAATCCAGGTGGAAAAATCAAAAAGAAAAAATAAGCAGGTCCTCTGGACGGGTTCTTCTTTAGGCTCCATCCAGAGGACCTATTTTTTTTTCTTTTTCATTATCCTATTAGTTTGTTTGAATAATCCTGATTTAGATTAAGCTAACATTTCAGATAGTTTTTTGTCATTAGTGTAGAAAATGTAATATATAAAGTAAATTTATTACAATGGACTATTTTTGTTTTGTCTTATTGATTTTGTTTAATTTTTTTTAAAGAAAACTCTAACTGGGAACAAGAGACACCCTCTGTTCCCGTGCCCATACATGAGTCCTTCACCCTCTGTGCCCACCTCAGGTCTGTTCACAGCCAGCTAATCAAATTGAACTGGAGCCTAATTGCAACTGATTTTCACTTCCTGTATTTGTTTTCTTTCCCCCATTTGGTTCAGTTGAATTTGTGAAGCCGGCAGATATTAAAGTCATCGCTGCTTTGGGGGATTCTCTGACAGTAGGTGTTTTGATTGGGTTCATCTGTTCTCTGCAACATTGCTAATCGTGTACCCGTGTATATATAACCTTTTGTTAGTACCRGTAATCACTGTCAAATACAACAGGTAAGAAAAACCTTGAGGTAAATAAAAATGTTTCAATTAAGTTTTTCTCTCTCCAGGCAGGCTTTGGTGCTGGTAAAGGACGTGTGYTTGACTACATGTTTGAGTATCGCAAGCTGTCATGGAGGTAGAAAACTTCAATAAATAAGTTACATTTGCTTAAAAACTTAATTTAATTTGCCTTAAAAAGCAGATGCCTAAAAATAAATAGCAAAAGTTAAATTTGTCTCCACTTATAGCATTGGAGGTCAGGGGACATTTCAAGATGTCATAACTTTGCCAAGTAAGACGCTGATTGTTCTGTTTTTGTCTCACAAATAAAAGAATCCCACTGAATTCTTTAATGTCTCTTATTGTCTGTTTCAGACATCTTGAAGGAATACAATCCTGATCTTATTGGTGCTTCTTCTGGAAAGACTTTGCCACTGATGAAGACTTATGTCAAAAAGTCTGGCTTTAACCTGGCAGTGTCTGGATCTACGTGTTTGTGAGCTCCTCAGCCTAACTGACAATAAAAAAGAAACTGCAGCAAGGACTTAAGATCATCTGTCTGTGAAACTAGATAATTTTTTCTACTGTCATTGTCGGTGCATTGCAGTTTGCATTGGCTTCAAGCTACAACCTTAAACATTTTTAACAAGTAACTTTGTTTTATTTCCCTATTTTAAATTATTTCTTATTTTATAGTGATCTCCCGGAACAAGCACAACATTTGATTCACAAAATGATGCATTACGAGGTATAGAAGCAGCTCAAAAACTGATATGATTGTCTTTTATATWAACTCTAAACCTTTTGTTTTTGTTCCTTTAGGGTCTGAATTTTAAGGAGGACTGGAAGCTTCTAACTATTCTTATAGGCATGAATGACATCTGTGGTTACTGCGGAGATAAGGTCAGTTTATTCCACCTTTTAAAACTTCGTTTTTTCCCCTCCCAAATAAGCCTTTAAATATATGTAAACCTTTTTTTTTAGGCTCATTTTTCAGCAAATAACTACATTGACCGTATAACCCACTCACTGGACATGCTTATGGACAAGGTCAAATTAAAATAAAATTAAAAATAAAATGAAAGAAGAGGTGCATGTGTTACAAAAACTCATTATAGCCCAAGCCTCCATATTGTGCTACAGGTTCCTCGGATGATCGTCAACATGGTCCAGATTATGCCCTTGCAACTTCTGAGGGAGATGAGGAAGCCCTTTACACAGTGCCCCCTCCTGCGGTTAGTCTTTATATGAGCATCGTTGTCAAAGCTTAAAAATGATCTCAAAGCTACAGGTTGTGTGTGYATGGTCTTGTCTTTTCCTGTGCTGGTCATTGTAAAAAAAAGTTTGGTTATGAAAAGTGGCAGTTGCATATCTTACCATGTCGAATTTAAACTGGTTGTTTCTTTTTGTCTTTTTTAAAGCTTTACATGCCAATGCATGACTACTACTAAGTCCGACTCCCCAGAACTGTATGAGTTGGTGGAGGTCAATCTGGAGTACCAGGTGCTGTTTATTTATTATACTTTATAAAATTGGGTTTGGTTATTTTAACTGCTGAGGACAAAATATCTCACCAAAACTTGTTTTTTCTATTTGTATTTACAATGTAATTCTTTTGGTTATAACCCAAATCTCACAACAGGTGAAGGTGAACTAATAACATATCAACTCTAAAACTCAGGGGAACAGAAGTTTTGGGGTCTCCCCGTATTAAAAAAGTTTCTCTTGAATTTAACTCAACTGTGTTCAAATGCAGAGGTGTATAGTAACTATGTATGTTTGCTTTGTTACAGTAAGTAATTATTTTACCTAATAATTTTTTTATTTATAACTTCTACTTGCATTTCGTTACACTCAAAACAAAAATTTTACTTTTACTTGTTTACTTTAAAAGTGAACACCTTGTTAGACATTATACATTTAATTATGAATGGAACTCATCATGAAAGGAGTGGCTTATGCACTTTAAAAAATGAAAAGTTGGATTTACTAAACCAAGTTATGTCAACTAAAAAAAAAAATCCTGGCATGATGGCTCGATTGCGGGTGTTTCGGAGAAACTGAGACGTTTATTTTCTAAACATGATGTCCCAGTGGCTTTCAAACCCCAAAACATATTACGACAAAGGCTGGTTCACCCCAAAGATCCGGTGCCCCGGCACAAACAGAGCAATATTGTATATGCTGTTAAGTGCCAGGAGGACTGCGACCAGTTATACATCGGGGAAACAAAGCAGCCCTCTGGTGGATTATCAAAGTACTGCAGGAAGTGGAACTTTTATTTTTAAATGTCTGCTGACATGAGGTCAGACACACATTTTTTTCAGGAAAACTTTTGCTAATTTTGGAGAAGTTATGGTAA